AAGGCTTCAGATTCTATACAGTATTCTAATGCATTCATAATTATTTGAAAAAATAGTATGTTTTAGTTTACAAATAATGCAGTAGAATAACAAATTGAAAGGATATACGTGAGTTCCACATTTCAGCTCCAAAGGAGCTGCGCTGACAAGCTTTTTATAATTGATCTATCAATTCATATTTAAAGATCATCTTTTATTTGAAACAAAAGATTCTACACAAAGTAGGCTTATCTAACTACATAGTCATGACAGTTCATCACCAACGAACTGATAAAAATTAAGATAGTTTGTGCTTACAGGGTGTGGATGGGTGTGGGTGTAGGCACAGGTGAAGAGAGGTCTCTTATCTTCACACACACACCCACAGCTGCAGTCCACCCTTAGTGAAATTTATTGGACTTCAGAAGCAGAGAAACGTCAAGCAAATCCTGAAGCACTTGATTGACTTTCCTTGAGATGGAATTTGAGATCATCTTTTTCTTTTGTCTCTGTTCAGGGGTGTTACTTCGTATTTATTGTTCTGTATAATAGGGAGTAGATGTAAATTAAATCATTATCTTTATAAAAAAAATAAAGATAAATGAAATCTTTATAATTAAAATGAGCAAGATAAAGATTTTTCTCATTTATTTTTATACAACAAAAATAAAATCAAAAAAAGTTATGATACCATAGAGAAAAATAAAATATATAAAAGAGTGTTTTGCATATTTTTTTCCTTTATCACCTTGATTTTTTGATAATATTACCTGTCGAAGAAATGTTGGTGTTAGGAAAGAACATTAAATTACATATGCTGTTGTGTTACTATGCATTTTTCTATTTATCTATCACAGCAAAAAAATGTTTATTTTTTACTTGATTCTTATATTTGAAAATAAAGAATTCATTTATCTTTATTTTATAAACATAAAGATTTTATTGATCTTTTTTTTTAAATTATATTTATTTTTCAAAAATAAAGAATTTCTTTGTTTCATATTATAAAGCTAAAGATCCAGTAACAGCCCTATTTCTGTTTACGTAAGAAACTAAACAGTGTCCTTTTTCGTACGAAGTAACAGTTTCAAATTTGTACTATGACTCTGAAAGTATTTTGCAAATTTTGACTAGCACCTTATGAGGTTAGGTCGGTTACTGGGCACAGCTATCCGGATCCTGATGCAAAAAATTGGATCTGTGCAGGACACTACTGTATGGTGGTGGACTGTTGGTCTTCTTTTGATTCACATCCACATTCACACTACGATTTGTACTATTAGCTGTATCTTTAGAAATTGACGTAATAAATATGTATCAAAAATGCTACTACTGAATATTTTTTCAGAATGTATCTATACCACACATCCGTCTTTGTTCACTTTTGTTTAACAAAAACTTAACTTTCGACTAAAAATTGAATGGGTGACGTGACCATCCAATAATGATAATTACATGAGCACTATACCTGATCAATTAGACAATGATGTTACCTTCGTTTCAGTCATCAGGTTGCTAGTAATTTCAAACCTCAGAACCACTATAAAAAGATAGGATTCGACATATTTACTTTTCGACATGCATAAAGTGCATTGTAATATTACCTTTCAAGAAACTTTGAAAGCTAATAAAAAAAAATGATTTAAGATATTTTATCATCAATTTATTTATTAAACATTTTTGCTTTGATTAGTTCAAGAAAGTCTTGTGTTTTTCGAATCATTTGAAAACTCACATTCATATTGTTTCATTATGATCTCTCGAGTTAGTTTTGTAGCGTTGATTTGCATTCGAACCGTAGGATCTTGATGAATTTTCTGAATCAATTCATAAATTTTGTGCAGCTTGTCAAAGTCTTGATTCGACTCGAAATAATCTAAACGTTCTTCAAATTTCAGCATGAGTTCTGTGAGCCTTTTGGCTAATATTGTGTTCATTTCATGCGATTTTTGATTTCTACAGAGATCATTTTCTTCACTAATCATTTGTGTTATACCAATCCAAAACGGATCATCTTTCGATGAACAAGATATATTCTTAAGAAAATAAGCAAACTTAGCACTTCCTTCAAGCAGTAAATTTATGCTTTTCTCTGTTTCATCTTTACCATACTTCGAACGTTTTCCCGAATGTGTATAGTCGAGTTCGTAATCGATTCTAGTGTGCTGATTGATAGCACATGAACAAGATAAACATATCTTTCGCATTTCATGAGCCGAACGTCTTGCAATCCAAAATTTACCTAATTGAAGAATATCCGGTTTGCATGTATAACAAGCAGCGCCTGGACGATCAAGAATAACTGGATTCAGTGTAATCTGTTCGCTCAATGCATCTTTTTCATACATAATAGAATTCCGAAGATTATTTCGCATGGCTTCGAGCATTGGATGAATCATATAACTAATTTGGAATTGAGCTTGTTTAATCGATTGTCGTTCACCTTGCATATCATGAGCACTCAGTTTAGTGCATATGTAATGCAGAAGTCGGTTTGATTCTTCAACTGATTTTGACCAACTATTTTCATATTCCGAATGTACAATGGTATCGAATTTAATGTTATTTTGTAGAGCAACCAAATACCGAAATGATTCATTACCGAAACAGAATGTGTTCTCTTTTTTGAATGGAATTTCACC